GCCACCAGAGCTGGGAGGGCTGTTGCCTTCGGCCAGGCTGGGGTCGTGTTTTCCCACTGCTGCACCCCTCAGTACCCCGGATTGTTTTTCAGACAGGGCAGAAGTGACACCACAGCCCCAGCCTCAGAGGATGCAGGTTCTGTGCCTGCACAGTGCGAGGCATCATGTGGGACAGGAACTGGCAGCTGGAGTAGTGCCCCAGCGCCGCTGGTACCCGCTGTGGTGGGACAGGCCCATGCTCCTGCTGTGGGTGCAAGGGCAGCCTGGTCCAGGACCCTTGGTCTCCTGCTGTGGAGTGCAGAGGGGCTGGCAGGGGCCTGGTGGGACCAGGGACCCTGGCAAGAGCTGCCAGTGCTGGAGCTTGGTGGGCAGCACTGGTGCCCACACTGGCCGTCATGAGCGGCTGGGATGGTGCCACAGGGATGCAGCTCTCTCTGCACCCAGAGGTGATCCTACCCACTCCCTCTGCCCTTCCCTCTTCCATCCCAGCCAGGTCACACAGGCACCTGGCCAGGGCTGTTGTCGGATGCTGGTTTAATTAATGATAGTGGCACAAACACTGTGGTGCTCCCAGATGCTGTGGGCAGGTTTTAACTGTCCCGATGCCATCTGGGTTCGGGGGCACGAGCCCAGGCAGGGCCAGCCTGTGCCCAGGAATCTGGCAGAGACTGAGCCAGCACGGCTGGTGGCAGCAGGGCTGGGCGATCCTGGGGTGACTTTTCCTTATCATCTGGCTCAAGGGTGTTGCTGGTCACTGTCCTGCACGTGCCAGTGCCTCTTTGGGGACAGTGTGTGACAGCTAGCTCTGTGGGCAGCTGGGCATCTGCAGGGAGGGCACTGGGGTCTGCTGCAGACAGTAGCCCCCCATGAGGGTGGGAGCCCCTTTGGGGTACAGGCACTGAGCAGGACTGGTCACCCCCACTTACCTCAGCTCTCCCTTGCAGTGATCCGAGCCAAGGCTGTCTCTGCGAAAGAGGTGGATTCGGGGAATGATATATATGGGAACCCAATCAAACGCATGCAGTATGAAATCAAGCAGATCAAGGTAACAGAACACATAGAAGTAAGAGGACAGGGGGACAGGGCAGCCCCCACACTGGCCACTCACTCCTGTCTGCTCCCCAGATGTTCAAGGGCCCTGACCAGGACATAGAGTTCATCTACACGGCCCCGTCCACCGCCGTGTGTGGCCGGCTGCTGGACATCGAAGGGAAGAAGGAGTATCTCATCGCAGGTAGGCACCGTGAGGGAGGGCTCGCAGGAGGCACTGGGGAAGTGCAGTCCCTGCTGCCTCATGTGCCCTCTGAGACACCTGATGTGTGTGCCTGCTCCCTGGGCATGTTCCCCCCCCTGCCCCTCCTGCTCCTGCCACCAGCCCTCAGGGGATCCCCAGGCTGTATCCTGGCAGTGCTTGGCAGGGCTGGGGTGGGGGCAGCTGGAGGATGACTCTCTGTTCCCTGTGGGTTACCAGGGACAGTACACAGAGGGCCCCCAAGTTAACAAGGGATCCCAGGGCACTTGGAGACCCCCTCAGCTGTCTGTTTGGCCTCTTCCCAGGCAAGTCAGAGGGCAATGGCAAGATGCACATCACGCTCTGCGACTTGGTCTCCACCTGGGACTCGCTGACCCCGACCCAGAAGAAGAGCCTAAACCAGCGGTACCAGATGGGCTGCGAGTGCAAGGTGAGAAGCTGGGCTGCCCTCTGCATGCCTCCTGCATGTCTGCAGCCCCCAGGCAGGGATGGGCTCTGTGGTGAGATGCTCTTCCCTGTCCTTGAAGGATGATTCTGTGCAGGGACACAGCACATGGCTGGGCAGACTGGAAGGGTGGCTGAGCCTCTGGCTCCCTCCAGCTGGGAACTGAGGCCAGCCCTGGGACCTGCACCCAGAGGTTCCTTCAGTCCCCCTGCATCAGGGTCACAGCCCTGCCATGCCCTGCAGGGCAGGGTCAGCCTGGATCCCTGTCCAGACA